GCAAGGAATTATACTTCCCAGACATTAGACTTAAGCCCATACAAAATGTTATTTAGACAATTATTTCTCATTGATGATTTTATTTCTAATAAGAATGTGCTACTCACATGTAAGTCTTCAGATCTTGGTCTGCAATACTGTAGTGCCCACTTACAGCTAAGGGAGGCAACCCACTATTGTTCTAGCCTAAAAAATTAAATGATGGCTAAATTTGTTTTCTCTCCCTATCTAGAAGCCTTTGAGAGGTAACTGACACTGATTATAGCCACTCCAACAGCTATCAGAATGCCTGAAAACAAATTCTGAGTCCATCACTCTCAAGTTCAGCCCTGGCAGAAAAGAAAAAAAAAGAAAAAAAGAAAAAGAGCTATAACCTTGGTGCTAACCATTGCTCCTTGCCTGTTCAGATATTTTCAGGACCAAAATCCAAAAAGTAACTCTTACTCTCATACTAATTTTAATCAGTTGTTACTCTCCTTCCCTCCACATGTATACAAGTGCCTGTTAACCATCGAGGACCCTGTCGAGATACATGAAGAGGGAACCCCTGCTGCCTGATCCACCCCTAATCCAGCCCCCGCATGTCGACCCTATCCAGCAGGAAGTAGCAAGATGACAACGGTGCCCCCTATCCTATAACACAAAAGGCTGGAATGTTAAGGTTCAGATAGCCCCGTCCCCTCACCAACAGGGCCTCACAGACTTCTCAAGCGCCTAAGAAAAGGGAACTGAGTTCATAAGCACCTTGGTCTTTGAAGTCAAGAGAAGCAGAATTTCTCCACTGTGTGTTTGGCCAACACAGCAGGCTTCCCCTTTGATCTCTAAAGAGAACAGGTTTTAACAATCCTGCTCTCCCACTTCTCCCCTGCCCAACTTAAAAAAAAAAAAAAAAGTACATCTTCCCGCCTTCTGCAGGAAGCAGAAGCCTCCCCCTTAAAAAAACCCTAGCTCACGACCTGGGTAGACATTTTCCCTGCCTGGAAGGGAATCTGTCCCATGTGTTCTTTTGCTAATAAACTCTATTATGATGGAGTCTTATCTGTGTCCTGGTGCATTCTCCTGATCAACTGGATTTATCCATAGGCTACTTTTTACCTACCACAATGGAGGCAAACAGTTTAAAATTTGTCTACTTTCTAGAACTCCTAATTTCACCATGGAGTATGGACAAATCTTTTCTCCTCAGGGAATGATGGAGGTCCTCCACAGTGACTGTACGCTTTATCCTCTGCCCTCCTGTGATAGTTTGAATGAGAATGTCCCCCATAGGCTCGAAGTATTTAGACATTTTGTCCTCAGTTGGTGGTGCTATTTTAGGAGGTCTTAGAAGGTGTGGCCTTGCTGGAGAAGTGCATAACTGGGGGCAGGCTTAGAGAGTTTGTAAGCCTTGCTAGATCTCCAGACAGTCTCTGCTTCCTGTGCCTGCTTGAAGATGTGAGCATTCCTCTTTCTTCTCCTGCCACCTCTTGCTACCATGCCTACCCACCATGATGGACTTTAACCCCCTAGAACTACAAGCTCAAATAATTCTTCTTTTTATAAGTTCCCTTGGTCACGGTATTTTATTACAGCAACAGAAAAGTAACTAATGCACCCTAGAATCTTAAAACTAGTGTCATTTGATTACAGATCAGAGCCATAAAAAACCACCAATATTTCAAACACCATCTCTGTCAACCAGGAATAGCAGCCATAGAAGTAAAACTATTCAGACTGTCAAATCATCCTAACTGCTTCTAAGTGATGCCAATAAGGAGCACATAAAGCAGGTTTATTGAAATCAGGGCAATGCAGACACTGCCGCAGATGCAAACTCTGAGAAAATATCCACCAACTGGGCAATGCAGAGGGTCTTGGACTAAGAGAGGGGCTAGATTTCCATTCTGTTTCAAAGAAGTATTGAAGTTTAGAGAGGAACTGTAACAAAGAATATGTAATTCTTTGAGATCAAGTACTTTCCAGAAAGAATTTCTTTTTCTGGTAAAATGGTGTGCTGGCAATTTGCTGTGGTTTCAAGAGTTTAAGGAGTTAAGAAATTTATCAACAGAAATTCCTATTTTAAATACACTACAGACAATGGTGTAGCCTTCTTCATAGTATGCTGCCTAATGCCACCACACAATTGCTTCTGGAGTGGATACCTGGCATGCTGTGTGCAGAACATCTTGGTTTCACTTAGAAGAAAGGTAAATGATCAGAAAGGGAAGATTCTGAGAGCAACAACCCCAAACACAGGTTCACAATCCCCCTCAGCAGATGGACACGCATCTTTGTTTTGATAGTCTTACCTACAAAGCCCTCTGACTGCAAGCATTCCAAATAACACAGATCAAACAAGATAAATTTCAGTCTGTTGTAAGCTGAGACCTGACGACCGACTCGTGCTCTAGAGATGAAGTATGCAAGGGGTCAACTTACGCATACAGTCTCCTCCATACCAGCCGGCTCTGCACTCAGCACAGTAGAATCCCTTTACATAGAAGTCGTCCAGAGTTCCCCCCCACGAGCCATTCCGGCAGCTCTTGCAGTTTTCAAAGATGGTGCAACCTGAAACATTTCCAAGAAAATGTTAGTCTATGTGTTCCCAGATTCTATCATTCGTCTTGGGAGGCAAACTGTGCACCTTCTCAAAGCCCTGAACAAACAGCTAGACCTAGAAGGATACCAAAGCTCTTAGGAGAACCTGCACATCCCAACAAGCAAGCAAGTCCCCAAGATGCAGGCAAGGAGTAGAGGAGAGAGGTTTGAGCATCTTAATTAGCAATTGGTGTTTTATTTAAACAAACACGAAATAGCTTCTGGTGCAAGACAGAATCAGCCAATACGCTGCTGCTTTTTGTTCTTACAAATGTGTTCCATGCTTATTGTATAATACTTAGAAAATTCAGGCTATACATATATATATATATATATATATATCCATTATTAAGTATTAGGCTTAGAATAGCATTCAGGAGATAGTTCAGGCCTGAATCCAGAACTCATGTGAAAAAAAAGAAAAAGAAAACAAAAAAAAGAAGCTGGGTGTGGTGGTGTGAGTTCGTAATCCCAGTTCTGGGGAGGTAGAGACAGGCAGATTCCTGGTGCTTGCTGGCCACCCAACCTAGACCTGTGAAAGACTGAGTCTCGAAAACAAGGAGGATGGTACTTGAGGAATAATAGCCAAGTTGTCTGCTGTACTCCACACACACATGCACATACACCTGCACACACACACACACACACACACACACACACACACACTCATGCACTTTCAGAAACAGACACACATGTATACATATAAACTTTAGGCTTATACTATATACTTTACAATTTTTTTTATAATTCATTTTTCATTTAGTAACAGTAAATATTGTTCTATTAAATACTCATCTATGTCACATACTTTTATAACTAAAGTACACCATGAGAATCAGCCCTAATGCCTAACAATAGTCTAAAAATAAGATCTCTTTAGGGGTTGGGGGACAGCAAAAATAAAGCAGAAACAATTCCTTCCTGTTTGTCAAAACATAGACCTATGTTCTGCCCTAATGCCTCCATCTATCAAACTGTGATTAAGTTGTATCTACCTCTTAGAATTGTTTACAAATTAAATTAACACATATGAAGTGTCTGAAACACTCAGATTATTAACCCTCAAATTATGAACTATTGTTATTCTAATTTCCCATAATTCCATATGGCTTATTGTAGATGTCATGCTTCACTTTATCTGCCTATTGCCATTTTCCTATAACAGGCTCAAGTGAAGAACCATATCTTGGTCAGTATTATATCCTCAGAACCCAGTGTAGTTCTTCCACAAATAAGTGCAGAATAAAAATCTTCCAAGTGAACGAATGAATGGCTAATGAACTGCTTGAGATGACCAGTTTCCTTGAATTGATAACATGCATTTTTGCTCCTTGTTAAAATTAGATTTTCATTGGCTCAGTGTGTGTGTGTGTGTGTGTGTGTGTGTGTGAGAGAGAGAGAGAGAGAAATGTGTGTGTGTGTGTGTGTGTGAGAGAGAGAGAGAGAGAGAGAGAGAGAGAGAGAGAGATTTCTATAGGAGAGATACAGTCTTCTTTCCACTCCATCCTGACTTTGCTTTCTCTCCTACCAGAGAAGTTGAATCACTAATATGATTAATGCAGTTGGTCTGTGTCCCAGAACTGAGTCCCACTGTAGCCAGTGAGCCTTCCAAAAGCCAACCTCACTCACATGCCTCTGAGGAGGTAAATGGACTCAGATCCTGCCCTCAACAGTCCTGCCAACCCTCTTCTTTGGCACAGTCACATCAAGGGCCTTGGGTTCACACCACAAAAAAAAAAAAAAAAAAAAAAAAAAAAACAGCCTAGAGATGAAGATGAACGAGACTCTATGGGAAAGACACTAAGTAGCTCACTAGTTGCCAGAGGAGCAGTTGCACCACCTAGAGCCACAGGAACCACACTGGCCCATTGAGAGCCCTGGTGCTGCTGAATGCTACTGGAGGTGACCAGTCACCGTTAATGTCCCTGATGCTGGTATCTCCAGACATTCATCGTCCTATATCACTTTCACCAGAAATGATCAATTATTTATACAGGATCTCTAGCCCAGGCTGGCCTCAAACTCCCTAGGAAGCAGAGGGATGACCCTGAACTTAGGATCCTACTGCTTCTGCTTCTTGAGTGCTGGGATCACAGGCTTGACCAGAACACCCAGTTTATGCAGTGCTGGGGATCAAACCCAGGGCTTGCTAGGTAAGCACTCTAGCCACTGAACTATACCCCTACCCCACCCTCAACTGAAATGATCATTTATTTTCATGACAGAAATGCAAACTAAAAGCCATACTGAGAGTCCATTTCCACCTATAAGGTTGGCAAAAATCCAAATGACACTGTGCTACAAGGGTTGGCAGAACAAAACATTCATGCACTTCTGTAGCAAATGTTGAATTTGTAGCAGGGAATTAGGAATGAGCTAGAAAATAATATGTGCCTCGTCCTTTGACCCACTGACCTCACTGCTAGGAATCTGCCTCAAAGAGAGGCACACCACACAAATACTAACTGAAGTATGCTTAGGAGTATTCACTGCAGTATTGTTTGCACAGGTCGAACATCTCTAATCCAAGCATGTCACCACAAGAAGCAGGTAACAACTAAAACACAGGTTGTCTAAAATTGTGTAAAATTGGGGGCCAGAGAGATGTCTCAGTGGTTAAACGCATTCACTGTTCTTATAGAAGACCTAGGTTTTAATCCCAGCACCCACATGGCGGTTAACAGCCATTGATAACAATCTGTAACTCCAGTTCCAGAGGGTTCAACGCCCTCTTCTGTCTTCCACGGGCATTGCACAACACGGGTGCACTTAACACATGCAGGCATAATACTCATATACATAAAATAAAAATAAACCAAAAACTTTTAAACATGTAATATTACCTCAAACTATGGGTATAGGTTGTATATAAAACAAATGAATTTCATATTAGTCTTGGGTATCATCTCTAAGACTGTTGTTATAAATATGCAAACATTACAAAATCCACCCAAATCCTAAAATCCAAATATATTTTATTCCAAGTATTATGGATAGTAAATACTCAATTTATAATAGCAAAGGTCTAGAGACAGCCCAGAAGTCCATGAATTCTGGTACTTCACACAATGCAGTCATATGTAACTGTAAAAAGAAATGAAGAAAACAGCTCCATCCAGTATGAAGTGTCTCCAGCGTATATTGTTAAGAGAAAAACAAGACAACAATTTTTATGGTATGTTATCTTTTGTGTGAGATGGGGAAAGAGAAATAAATGCCTACACATATTTTTTGCATTTTCAAATATAAAAAACAATGAACCTATCTAAGTATCAGAGAGGTGGCACAGCACAGAGAGAAAACTACATCCATTGATTTTAAAGTGTAGTATTTTGATTACACACATCTAGCGGCATGTATTCCAAGGCCAATGGTACCATAAAGAGTCATAACTGTATTCAGTGGACTTATTGGTAGTACAGATAGTGCTTTTGTTACTTTGCATGTTTATATTGTTACAATATAAGATGAGGCAAATAAGGGATTAGGTTAATGTTAATAGGAAATAGGTTTTCACTGTAAGAGAAAAATAAAAAATAACCTTGTATTATTAGATATAAATTTGAGTATTAGCATATATTCTCTTTTCTTTAAAAAATATAGATAGATGATAGACAGATGATAGATAAATGATAGATAGATAGATAGATAGATAGATAGATAGATAGATAGATAGATAGATAGATAGATAGAGATACATACATACATACATAGGCCAGATGTGGTGGCCCACACCTCTAATACCAGCACTCAAGAGGCAGAGGCAGAAGTATCACAAGTTCAAGACTAGCCTGAGCTACATAGAGCCATCTTGTCTCAGAAACATCAGGGGCTAAGGGTATAGCACAATAGTAGAGCGCTTTCCTAACATACCAAGCAGCACCCTGAGTTTCATCCCCATCACTGCAAATATGTGTGTGAAAGCTAACAAATACACACACACACACATACACACACACACACACACACACACACACACGTACACAGAGAAAACAATCCCCAAACTACTACCTCATAACAATGACAATCCATAGTGAAGAACATCCCTAGTGCCCAGACCGTGGTCTTAGTATCAGAATTCCTTGGAGAATTGGTTGATTATAGAGCTGGGGCAGGAATGTGGAAGAAAACTGAAATGCTTGTTCATGAAAGAAATCCCAGAAGCCTTCTAAAACCAATGTGGTCATGCTAGTGGTCATGCCAGAAGCCTACAGAAGGGCATGGAGGAGCTCATGGTTCCCTAAAATGGGTCCATGTAGGTGTTAAAATGAGTAATGACTGAAACTGATAAACTATGCATACAAACAAACTGCAGTTCCCAATGACACACGATGAGAACTCTTGGATCACCAATGCTGGCTGCTAGGGTAGCAGCTCACTGCTCTGAAAAATGAGTTTCAAAGTAGCCTTTATCCTTTGCTTTGCTTTTCCTTTCAGAATAGCAGAATGGTTAGTATGGGACAGCCCTTCACTCCCCAGAGCTAGTAATCACTCCCAGCATCCCTGGAAGCGGGGCTGCAGATGCTAGGCGCTGCCTGTAGGATGCACTAGAAACCATACTGTTCCATCTCTGCAGCTCTCTTGTTTGTCAGGTGACTGACTCTACATCATCTCACAACAGCTGAGCCCAATCTGGGGTTACCCAAGAGTAACCACAAGGTTCCCAAAAATATTGAAAATCATTTAGACCACATGGCCAGTGACCCACAGTATAGACCTGGGCTTCACCCTCAAGTTTTCCAAGGAAAACTGGAGGCATTATATGTACATTTCTCTACAAACCACTCTTTCCCAAAGGGGAGTTGGAGTGGTAGACTTCTTTTCTGGAACCCAATGCATAGACGTGAAATCAGTCCTGTTAAAATGTTCAATGTTCCTCTCTTCCAAATGAAAAAAGTGAATTAGAAATCATTTGTAGAGTTGAGACCCATTTGTCTCCACTTTTCCATAATTTCCCATGAAAGAAGGCT